CAAGAACCCAATTTTTTAGACATACTAGAGAAGTATCAATTCAATGCTTAGATGGTCAAGTAAGACAATTATCATTAATATCAGAAGAATCTAAAAAAGAATTAAGAAAAAAGAATTTTAGATTTATGCATTTAGGATTAATAGTAATAGGATTTAAAGGATTAATGAGAAAAAATTTAGGAAATAAACTTTTATTAACTATTTATGATGAAAGAACTCAAAATATAGAAAAAAGTATGATAGCTAGTACAGAGGTAGACATGAATGATAATAATGGAATTATATATTGTAATCCAGATTTTTTATTAACCATAAAAGATTTTTCAGAAAAAATTAAAATAGGAATCCAAACACATGGATATGAAGATGTTATTTCAGGAGAAAATTTATTAATAAGTATAGGATTTTTAGGAAGATGTAGTAATAATTCTCAAACAAAATACAAAGTATACATAGATAAAATAATAAATTTAATGAGTAGTAAAGGAATAAAAATGATTAAGCCTAAAACCTATGATTCAGAACTTTTAGCAGGATTAGAATAGAATTTAGAAAAAAATTTGGAAACCCAAGAACCAATTTTAGCTCCTTAAGAAGCTATAATATATAAAGATTTACATGGAAGAATTAGTCTAAGGTTTGGAAATTATAGTCATATAAATAGAAATAATGAATTTGAGACAGAATATAATAATAATAATGAAGAACAACAAAAAACAGAAGAATTTCTTAATGCAGTAGAAACAGAAATAGAAGACAGAATAATTTATCCTAAAGAATTAGAAATGAAATTATCTCCCACAGAACTTTTAAAATTAGAAGATCATTTATTTTTAATTAAACAAATAGGAGAAAAAGAATATTTATATTATGATAATTATAAAAATATAAGAGTAGGAATTAATATAGAGGATATTGATAATAAAACAGAAATTTCAGAGGATAGTAATTACAAAGAATTAACAGATGAAATTATGCAAATTAAAACAGAACCAGAACAATATCAATATTTAGGTGGCCATCCTCCTAGAATAGTTTATACAGATTATAATGATAAAGAAAGAAATTATATAGTTAGAGGAAAAGTTAGACCTTTAGAACCTAAAATAGAATTTCAAACACCACATAAACCACAAATATTAAATATTATAGCACATGATCCTCAAACTTGGAATAATATAATAGAAGTATGGAAGAATACAATACTAGGCCATTATATTAGATTAGCAGATAATATGGAATCATTAGAAATTTATAGATATTTAGAGACATTTTTAGGAGAAAATGCTAAAGCTAGATGGGAAGCTTTTAAGAAAGATAAACAAATAGAATTTGAAGCATTAGAAGCATTAGGAAATAATCCTTATAATTTTGTTAGTAAGATACATGAATTATTAACAGGAGCAGACCCAAATACAGGACAATTATTAATTCAACATAAAGCTATTAGAGATCTTGAACAACTTAGTCTAAATAGATGGACTAAAGGTAAAGAAGTTAAACAATTTTTAAATGAATATCATTATCTTGTTTCTATATCAAGTAATACTTTTAATCAAGAATTAGGTAAAAAATTATTCCATAAATTACCAGATCCCTTAGGATTAGAAATAACAAAAAGATGGAATGAAAATAAGAATGTTATAGAAAAACCAGATCATTTATGGAGTATAGGAATAAGAATACAATTCATAATGAAATGTTTATAAGAAAAATGTGTTGAATTACAAATCCAAAATCAACTAAAAAAGACAGATTATAAATTGTGTAAAGATATTTTCACACCTCAGACTTATGGTAATAAGTTTAGAGAAAAGATTAAAAGAAAATATGATAAAAGGAAAATTAG